TCTATATATATAATATAATTCTAATTATAATTATATATACATTCTCAATAAACAATGGAATGGATTTTTTGAATCTATTCTAATTACAATGTTTTTGGAGTCCGGAAGGAAGGTAATAGGTTTATTTAAGTATATTAAATCTATCTATACGTATAGACCTTCTATTTCGATACATAGCTAATAAAATAGCTAATGCAATTGCTGCTTCTGCTGCAGCAATTGCAATGATAAATAGTCCAAATAAATTACCTATAATTGGAAGACTAGTAGCTCATTTCGGATCTACTTATACATCCCATATACTAGATAGACTGAAAGAACTAGGATTTGAATATGGAACAGAGTAGGATTTTTAGTGATTTATTAAAATGACACTTTTTTAATTAAACCATCCATAGCTATGAAGTCCTTTTCCTAATAAGTTAACTCCAAGATAACAAACCCATATAACAAAGAATCCTAATAAGCCTATTAAAGCAACTTTACGACCTTTCCACCCTTTATTAATACGTACATGAAGATATGTACAAATATAAAATAAAAAGAATGAATTCTATTATGAAATATTAGACAATACATAAAAAGATATGTATTTTTTTGAATAAAAAAATACATGATATAATATTACTATCTCTTATCCATTGTTTATATTATTCTACTATTATTTATATTCTATATTAGATAATGTTATTTTGCATCATTTTTTTTATTCAAAGACTATTTGATAATAGTGAAATAAAAAATACAAGGATAAAGAGAGAGTCCAATCTTGCTAGCAGGGCGGTGCTCTAACCTCATTGAACTACAATCCCATTGTCATAGAAGAAAAGAAATATTGCTCTTTTCTTATATAAGAATAAATAAAAAAGAATTTAGAAAAATAAATATTTTCTGATTGATTAGCATATTGCTGATATGAATCTTACTTGATTGAATTGATTATATAAATTCACTAGTATAAGATCATATGTAAATAATAAGGTAAATATAAGAATTTTATCAAATTTATTAGTATCTACAAGAAAAGTACATACAAGATTAGTAAGTACATACAAGATTAGTATACCGTTGGCACGATAACTGGTACATCGGTGGGACTGGCCGGTCGACCGGCCCGGTTGGCCCCCGATAGGCTATAGCGCATTCCCAAAAAAAGGCCGGTTCAAATTTTTAATGGGCCAGGAGGCCTCCCCACGGGTTGTGGGGGCCTCCTGGCCCATAACAAATTCGAATCGGACTTCTTTTGGGAGTCCACGAATATTGCAAACGGCGGCCTCTCTGGACCGCTGCATCAAGGAAGATCAGCGGCCCAGATGAGGCCGCCGTTTTTGAATCTTGGAGGGAGGGCGATCCTCTGATGATTTCCCGTCGTCGGCCTCCCACCCGTCACCCGCCCGTCGTCGGCCTCCCGCCCGTCACCTTCCTCCTGCCCGTCGCCGTGGCGCAGCGCCCGTCGCCCAGGTAAGTGGCGCGGCCTCTTCTTCTTCTTTTCTTCTTCTTCTTCTTCTTCTTGCTAAAAATTAGTACTTCCTACGAGAGAGAGAGAGAGAGAGAGAGAGAGAGAGAGAGAGAGAGAGCATTTTTTCTTCTTTTCTTCTTCTTCTTCTTCTTCTTCTTCTTCTTACTAAAGCTCCCTCGTCTCGAGAATACGCGCGCAAGCAAGCGAGCAAGAGAGAGAGAGAGAGAGAGAGAGAGAGAGAGACTCCCTCGTCTCGAGAATACGCGCGCAAGCAAGAGAGAGAGAGAGAGAGAGAGAGAGAGAGAGAGAGAGAGAGAGAGAGAGAGAGAGAGAGAGAGAGAGAGAGAGAGAGAGAGAG